ATCAAAAGACTTGAAGCAAATTCTGCATAAAGTTAAGACAAACCTACACGATTTAAATGCAGCAAGAGTTGATCTGAAAGATGTTACGAATAAAATGTTTAACATCATGGATTCTGCCATGGTCATTATCTCTTATCTGAGTAAATGGGAGTGTTTGGTTGCTACAGAGGAACTGAAAATTCTTGAACAGAAAATTCAAGATCCTTCCTCTACATCATCCAAACATAACTGATAGTAAGAGATAACAATGTAACCATCTCTATAATAAAAATATAGTAAATAATAGTTAATTATAACATTCTCTAAATTCCTTTTGTCAAAATACAATCAAACATTAACAAACTATAATAAAAACAACTGATATTTAACATTGATGATACTAGCTAATAAAAAAATACGATGACCAATTTTTAATTGTATCAAACAACTAATCAACCAATACCATAAAGAGTTGAATATATCAATACAAAATAAATCAGGTGTACAACATCATCAACAAGAAAGGAGAATAGGCAAATCAATTTTAGAAAAGACAGACATAACATTTGCTCATAAAACATTATAAAATCCCTAATAGTAAATTTTCTTTTCTATAAAAATTGTTTGTCAAACTCGAATTTATTTTCGAATACCAACTGTTAAACTTTAACTGTTGTAAACTTTATTATTCAAGAGAACATATTCCCAGCAATATACAATTATTGGTGAACATATTTGAATTAATAACTGTGCTTGCAAACCCATTAACAACAGTTATCAATCAGCTTTTTCAATGTTTTTGAATTTATGCATGTTAAATAGAAGCTTGAAACAGTGTCATTTTGAGTAAAGAAGGACGACGTCATTTTAGACAAGCTACCAAATCAATCTTGACCGTAGGATTCACTCCAGATCCAACGGCCAGAATACAGCCACTTAGTCAATCATATATAAACTCACTTTTCTGCAGAAACAAAGATAGAACACTGTAGGGTTTCTTCGTGCAATTGAGGAGTTAGGGTTGAGAACTTTTCTTGTTGTTGTTTGTGTAATCAGGTTTGAGTGGTTAGGGGTCTTAATCATTCGGGTGAGAGTGTTGTTCTCTCGGGTTAGGGATTCTCAGTGGGTTTCTCTTTGGCTGATTAGAGGTTATATTGTACGGGTTATTTGGGTGTTTGTTTGGAAGTGTTGTAATCTTGATTCTTCTGGTAATAGTAAGTGCAGCAAGCTCATACCTTTCCTGAGCTCATCATGGATGTAGCTTATCCATAAAAGGATAAGTGAACCACGTTAAATCTTTGTGTTGTTCTTGGTGATCTTGTTTTATTAATTGTGTGATTTAGGATCTGTGTTTGTGCTGAGTTGCGTAACAGTGGTATCACAGCCATTTCTTGGAGTCTAGATCTGGTGATTAACGATTCGTAATCCTGATAGAAAAGATTTTGCGAAATTAGGGTTTGCAAAAATTAGGGTTTCGTAAAATTAGGGTTCCAAGAAATTTGGGGCTTTTTCTAATCATTGATTTCTTTGAGTCTCCAAATAGATCTAAGGAGTCAAATCTTGGGAAAAGACTAGGATTCCAGAAATTGCACAAAGAACAAGGCAAGAGGAACTAGGGTTTACAATTTGGGGCTTTTATAAAACCAATCCAAAATGACCACAAACACCACCACACGATTAGAAATAAACTAATACGATGGAAAGATCGATTTCGGAAGCTGGAAGAAGAAGATGAAAGCCCTCCTTTCACATAACAAGGTTGCAATCGCACTGGAAAAGGATCCCAAGAAATGGTCAGAGGAAAGACTGAAGAAGAAGGAAGAGATTGATGAAGAAGCATACAACTTGATCATGATTAATCTCTCTAACAGTGTACTTCGGAAGGTAGATGGATTCGAAACTCCACTTAGCTTATGGGGTAAGTTAGAATCTTTATATGCCTTATAGTCTGCACCGAATCTAGCTTTCTTAAAGGGAGCCTTATTCTCATATAAAATGGATAATGCAAAGTCTATTGAGGAGAATTTAGATGAATTCCTTAAGATGAATTTAATTTTGAAAGGCACAGACCAAGAACTAGGAGAGACAAGTCTTGATATGATACTGCTTAACTCCTTAATGGATGACTACCAAGTAGTCAAAAATGCCCTTCAGTACTCAGGTACTATACCCAATGTTGATTTGATAGTTGCTGAACTTAAGGCTAGGGAGTTAGAGCTTAAAACCCATAAGAGGAACAATAATACTTTGTTTGTGAATGGTAGATTAAATCCTGGTCAACCTAGTAAAGGATACCAGCCTAGTCAGAGAGGTAAGAACAAGAAGAAATGGAAAGGGAACAATAAATCCAAGACTGAAACTAGGAAGTGTTACTACTGTAACAAGACAGGCCATCTAAAGAAAAATTGTTTTGACTGGAAGAAGAAACAGAAACTAGGAAATACAGAGAACAACCTGGCCACCACTAGTAACCTAACAGATGAACCTGAAGTCCTAACAGTGTCAATATCTGACACTACAAAGGAATGGGTATTAGATTCAGGCTATACTTTCCATATGAGCCCTAATAGGAGTTGGTTCCAAGACTTTGAGAGTACTGAACATGAGACTGTTTACATGGGGAACAACCAAGCATGTAGGGTTAAGGGAATAGGCTGCATAACCCTTAGATTAAGTGGGGGAAAACTGATCAGGTTAACCAAAGTGAGGTATATCCCTGACCTAAAAAGAAACCTTATCTCCCTAGGTACCTGGATGAAGCAGGCTGCTGCTATAAGGCCAACAATGGGTGGTTAAATGTCTATAAGAATGAAAAACTACTCTTAACTTGAGAGAAGAAAAATGGTCTCTATATACTCTGTGGGAGTTTTTATTCTGATTGCAACAACTCAACACTTGGTTCTCCAAATTTATCTGCAACTGAAAAGTGGCATTTGAGGTTAGGTCATATGAGTCAGAAGGGTATGGACGTCCTAAATAGATAGGGACAGTTTGGGAAAGATAATGTCACTACTTTAGAGTTCTGTGAGAATTGTGTCCTTAGTAAACAGCATAGGAATAGTTTCCCTAAGGGAGTCCACCTTGCTAATAACTATCTAGATTACTTACATTCTGATTTATGGGGGCCTGAAAAGGTTAAATCTCATGGTGGAAACAGTTACTTTCTCTCAATCGTAGATGATTACAGCAGAAAAGTCTGGGTGTTTTTACTTAGGTCCAAAGATCAAGCCCTAGCTAAGTTTAGAGACTGGAAGACTTTAGTTGAAAACCAGGTGGTTAGAAAGGTCAAGGCCCTTAAGACAGACAATGGGCTTGAGTTTTGTAACTTGGAGTTTGATAAGTTTTGTAATGAACAGGAGATCTTGAGGCATAGGACTGTCAAAAATACCCCTCAACAAAATGGAGTTGCTGAGAGAATGAATAGGACACTCCTAGATAAAGTCAGGTGTTTACTAATCACATCAAACCTCCCAAAAACATTCTGGGGAGAGGCACTTTCCACAGCTACCTATTTAGTGAATAGGAGCCCCTCTACAGCTCTAGGTCTAACCTGTCTAGAAGAGAGATGGTCTGGAAGAAGGCCAGAACTAGGTCACCTAAAAGTGTTTGGTTGTGCAGCTTATGCACACACAGTGGGGGGCAAACTGGAACTAGATCCACTAGGTGTGTGTTCCTTGGATATCCTGAGGGCACAAAAGGGTATAGATTATGGGATAGAGAGTCACCAGGGGTCAGGATTATAGTAAGTAGGGATGTTGTGTTTAATGAGGGAGTTTTCCCATGCAAAGGATCTAACCCTGATGCAGGCACCAGCAAAAGCACAGAAACAGCCACCATTCAGACTAGTGCTACTCAGATTGAGGTGGAGCCCACAACCCAACAATTGAATCCACCTCAAGCTCAAGCACAAGCACCACAATAGCCTGAAATTGATACAGCACCTGAGGAATCTGATCAAGGTGCAAATGAAGAAACTGAAGAGTTCCTGGAACCACAACAAAATGAACTAATAGATTACCAGTTAGCCAGAGAGAAAACAAGAAGAGAGGTAAGACCACCCTCAAGATACTCATACGCAGAACTAATTTACACTGCTCTTCTTGCATGTACAGAGGGTCTAAGGTCTGAACCTGAGACATATCAAGAGGCCATGGAATCCAGAGATAAAGACAAATGGAGAAAAGCTCTGGAGGAGGAAATGCAGTCTTTAAAGATAAATGAAACATGGTCACTGGTTCCAAAACCAAGAAACCAGAAGCTAACCCAATGTAAGTGGCTTTTCAAACTTAAAGATGGCATTTCCACAGTAGACCCACCTAGGTTTAAGGCCAGACTTGTGGCTAAGGGGTATACCCAAAGGGAGGGGATAGACTTCAATGAAGTCTTCTCCCCTGTGGTCAAATACAAAACAATTAGGATGATGCTGTCAGTAGTTGCATACCAAGATCTGGAACTTGAGCAGTTGGATGTTACCACTACATTTCTTCATGGAAACCTTGAGGAGAAAATTTATATGAGCCAGCCTATGGGGTTTATTGACCCTGAGGTTCTAGACCATGCTTGTCTCCTTAAAAAGTCCTTATATGGGCTAAAACAGTCCCCTAGGCAGTGATACAAAAGGTTTGACACATTTATAATAGGGATATGATTCACTAGAAGTCAATATGATAGTTGCTTCTACTTTAAATTGGACAATGATATGTCTATTTACTTACTGTTATACGTTGATGATATGTTGTTGATTAGCAAGTCAAAAAACCAGATTAGTGAATTAAAGAAGAAGTTAAATTCTGAATTCAGCATGAAAAACTTAGGGAATGCCAAGAAAATTCTAGGCATGGAGATAAATAGGGATAGGAGAAAGTGTGAACTTAGGCTGCAGCAACAATCCTATTTACTGAAATTAGTCACAAAGTTTGGCATGGCTGGTGCCAAACTAGTCTTAATGCCCCTGACCAGCCAGTTTATACTCAGCAAGTCCTAATGCCCTAAAATTAAGTTAGAATTGTTGAGAATGGAGCATGTCCCTTTATGCTAATGTTGTGGGGTCACTGATGTATGCCATGATTAGTACTAGGCCAGACTTAGCCTTTGCCATCTCCATGTTGAGTAGATATATGTCTAACCCTGGTATGGAGCATTGGACAGCTTTAAAATGGATGCTGAAATATATAAACAGTACTGTATGTGTTGGTCTTGAATATTGTAAAAGAAATACTGCATTTGATCTGGTTGGGTTTGTAGATGCTGATTTTGCAGGAGATAAGGATACCAGGAAATCAACTACAGCATATTTCTTTACACTGGGTGGAAATTTTATAAGCTGGAAGTTGCAACTGCAGCCTATAGTAGCCTTGTCGACAACAGAATCAGAGTACATTGCAGTAACTGATGTAGTTAAAGAAGCTTTATGGTTAAAAGGAATCCTGACAGAGGCAAATTTAATTAGTGGGAAGGTGACAGTGTACTCCGACAGCCAAAGTGCGATTCATCTAAGCAGAAATCCAGTGTATCACGAAAGAACTAAACACGTGGATGTCCACTATCATTTTGTGAGGGATCAAGTTACAAATGGAATCATTGAACTTAAGAAGGTGCCCACAGAAGAAAATCCAATAGACATGGGCACTAAGATAATCACTCCAGCCAAGTTCAAGCACTGCTTGAACTTGCTGCATGTTAAGTAGTCTGAAGTGACAAAGAGCTATGACGGAATGGAACTGAGCAAGCTGCACAGAAACATTGTTTCCAGTGCTTCCAAGGTGGAGATTGTTAAATGGAAGCCTGAAACAGTGCCGTTTTGAGTAAAGAAGGACGACGTCATTTTAGACAAGCTACCAAATCAATCCTGACCGCAGGATTCACTCCAGATCCAACGGCCAGAATACAGCCACTTAGTCAACCATATATAAACTCACTTTTTTGCAGAAACAAAGATAGAACACTGTAGGGTTTCTTCGTGCGATTGAGGAGTTAGGGTTGAGAACTTTTCTTGCTGTTGTTTGTGTAATCAGGTTTGAGTGGTTAGGGGTCTTAATCATTTGGGTGAGAGTGTTGTTCTCTCGGGTTAGGGATTCTTAGTGGGTTTCTCTTTGGCTGATTACAGGTTATATTGTATGGGTTATTTGGGTGTTTGTTTGGAAGTGTTGTAATCTTGATTCTTCTGGTAATAGTAAGTGCAGCGAGCTCATACCTTTCCTGAGTTCATCGTGGATGTAACTTATCCATATAAGGATAAGTGAACCACGTTAAATCTTTGTGTTGTTCTTGGTGATCTTGTTTGATTAATTGTGTGATTTAGGATCTGTGTTTGTGCTGAGCTGCGTAACAATGCATTTAATATATAATTATATACCCATTTTCTTGCGTATTATGCGAACATTTGTTTTCATCTATTTCCATAATTGTGTTTTAGTGAACCATTGTATTATATTAAACCAATTGAAATATCACGGGAAACTAGAAATAAAGAAACAATAATCATAACTATTGCATATTCAACAAACACGTTAAACAATTTTTAATTAAAATAATTAAACTACGAAACCAAAACTTACATGAAAATAAAATAAAATTATGATCACTATTATATAAACATAACATTTCATACAATAAGTACATATAATAAATAAATACATATAGACATGTAGATACGAAATGAAATAGTTGTTAGAATGTTTTAGAAATCTAAAAATTTTTTAGAATGTGTTTAATCCCATAACATACACATAATTACAAACCATTTAAATTCAAAGTAAATATCTCTATATGTTTAAAAACATAACAATATCAATATGTATTTGTAATGTTTTAAAATTTTTATGTACAATAAATACTTATTATTATTTAATTGCACGTTATCCAAGACTTTTTTTTTTTTTTTTTTTTTTATCCTCATGAATGTCACTGTTTATTTTTTAACAGAAATCTGTTCGTTTCTAACTTTTGCACTCCACATTATACAAAGAGTCAATTAAATCGTTTTCAATGACTTTTTATTTACAAAGAGTTGTATGTACCTATTTTGTCTCTTCACATTCTATTAACATGATAATCGTTCTTCGACAAGACGTTTATCTAATATATAAATATATAAATATCAAATTTACAAATTTTCCAAAAAAAAAGTTTCACCATCTTAAATGAATGTCTTTATTTATGAATAGATGACGGTTGGGTTCCTAACTTTTCATATTCTATTCTCATTTAAGATATCTTCTCATGTTAATAAATATATATAAGGATAAGTAAATTTTTATTTGTTTTGCCTTTACAAAATACTTGATTTATTTTCTCTACTTATCTCAAAATGGCCGACAGATCATCAAATCCCAAGAATAATAAACATCTAAACCATTCTAATATTTTCATTTCTATACAGAAACTTTGTATCTTTATATTTTTTATAAATTAACAAAATTTCATTGTTATATTTAACAGATGAACGTGCTTCAATTATTCATTGTTATATTTAACAGATGAACCTGCTTCAATTACAGACAATTAGACTTGAAACAGATTCTTCAAAATGTTGACACCAACATGGAGAATCTAAATGCTACAAGACAGAAATTGAAAGATATAATTGATGGATTGTTAGATATCATGCAGTCAACCTTCAGTATTATTTTTTATCTAACTAGGGGGTTGCTGCAAAGGAATTAGAACTCGGAATTTGTCAGCAGAAGAAATAAAAAATTCCCATGTACACAATCTGTTGATGTTTACAATACAATAAATAAAAAGCTAAATACATTCCATTCAAAAACAGTCCAAATTTGCAAAAATATTTAAAACAACACACTAAGATAAATAACTCATTATTATTAAATATTAAGAACAAAAGTTTAACCATTTTATTGTGTAATAACCTACATGCTGAGCAATTACTTAACAACACCGTTTAAACTAAAAAAAAATCTATAAACTTTGAATGATTACACCTCTTATATGATAAACATCATTTTATTATGCAAATTATCAAAATGTTAAATAATTAAACAATTCTAATAAAATATTATACATCAACATTACAATTACATATTCAATAAACATGCTGAACAAACTGAACAATTTATTAAATAGAATTAAAACTTGACATTATCAATCATATACATCAACAATTTTAATAAGCAATACTCCTGCCATTGTAAACTGTATTTTTCAATAACAGAATCACATATACAAACGTTTTGCCGAACCATTGTATTATCTATGCTGAATATTTACAAGAAATCTTACAATAACCATTACTTATTACATAATGTTTTGGGAACACACCTATATCAAGGTATATTCTTATTGTATGATTGTCTTTGCCGAACCATTTTCGCATGATAAACTTTTTGACATATGCTGAAGAATTCAAAAAAATCCAAAAATAACAACAATTATTAAATAATCAATACGCATAGGAAGTTAAACAAATATGTTTAATACCTTAACAACAATGTCGAACCATTATTATCTATACAGCTACACTGTATAAATGAAAACAGCAAATCAATATTCAAAACCATCGCAATTCATTATTACAAACCCATTCGCCAAACAATAATTAATAAACATTAATAATCAACCAATACTGATGATAATGTTTTGGGAATCTAAAAGTTTGTTCAATGTATTTAATTCCTTAACTTAAACATAAAACCAAATGTTTGACATTTACATCACATATCCGTAAACATTTTGCACATTATTCGAAAAGTTTATTTATCTTCTTGGATGATTATCTTTGATGAACCATTTTCACATGATAAACCGTTTGACATATGCTGAACAATTACAAAAATTCCAACAATAACAATAATTATTACACAATAAGAAATTAAAGAGTTATGATAATGTTTTGGGAATCTAAAAGTTAATTGAGTTACATAAAAATACACAAACAATTCACATTAAAATTAAATATTTACATATATAAAGAAAGAATATTAAATATATGCAAATTTAAAATAAGAATAAAATTATATTTAATTTTCAATGGACCAATTCAAAATAAATATCATGAATTAAATAGAATCATTAAAATCTCTTTCTACAATGTAAAAAAAAAAGTAGATTCATACATTTAAAAAAATTATAATTCAATGCTCAATAAATATTTAATACCATAATCAACATCCAGAAATACTAAAAGTCAGATGCAATTAAGAATTTTATTTAAAACAATAACATATAATAACTATTCACTGTCAACCAAAAAATTATATACACTACAATGCAAACATCAAAATCTAAAATTTTAATACATTTAAAAAAAAAAACCACAACAAAAATCTTAGGATGGCCGACGAAGTTTCAACAACGGAAATCAATAATTTTTTACAACTACCGGCAAACATAGTACAACAAATCATTGTTAAAGCAACCAGTCTCTATGCGCAATTCGGTTGACGTAAGTATTACTAACACCAACAGTATTGATTACTATATCAAAATACTATCACAAGATATAAATTACACTTTATTTATCTAACATTTTGCATATGCAAATATCTTAACAAACAAGCAAATACAAAGAAAGTACTTTGTGAAAGAAATATCTACAAGCAAAGATACAAGCTACCAGCAATCACACCGCAAGGACTTTCAATTTTAAACGTTTGCAAAGGCAAAAATATGTACATGCTTTATTATTCCTTGGAACGCATTTAGTCTTCATCAAACGTGATGTATACACAAGTTTACCGATGCTGAATGCAGCTTGCAAGAAAATACAATGCAAGCACTATATCACTTCGCAATTGCTCTGCTAACCATATATGAATGGAAAGGTATACAAATTCTACTCAAATTGGTTAAACAGCCAAACTATTTTTTTAGGATGAGAAATTGCAGAGAAACCTTCAAATCCGTGACTCCAACAGCAAGGATTCTCATCAGAAGAAAGATATTCGGGATTTGTGACAAACAAGATCAAAGTGTTATGCACTGGGATAGAATAACAACACCAGAAAATACCACCTGCCAACATTGTTGTGTAGATTACCAAATAGTATGTGTAAAATACAATTTGTAATACAAATATAAGGACATCAAATTAGAATCTTCATAACATATTACTGAATTTTAATATATCAATGATTATTTAGAATTAACCCTACTGATGATACCTGCATTCCAAATTATATTATTCAACAAAAAATCTCCAGTCGCATAATCCTGTATCCTAACCATTGTAACATTAAATTATCTGTTTTGAAAATACTATAAATCCAACAATTTCCACTACTATTTCATATTCAAAACACGTGCTAAACAATTTCTAATTGTGATAAGCCAATAGTAAAACCAATAATAAAGTACATTATTAACATAACATGCAAAAGATTTTCCAACACATGATACCATGTTATTAGCCATGATTTTTTTGTTTTACATTTGACTGCATGTCATTGATATGAGTTGTAATATATATATAAAAAAGATTTGCTATCACATATAGCTTAATATAATTCGTGTTCATATTTTTGGTATAATGACATATATAATAACCTTACTTAGTGAAGCTGATCAATCATGTATGTCCCTATTAAATAAAAACCAAACTTCACATTCACATTAAATATTTTCATTTAGATAACGTAAATTTATATAAACCTAAAACGTTTTATACCTAAAATGCATTTGATAATAATGTGAAGAATTAGAAATATTAATGTAAAATGAAAGGTTTGGAAAAAACTAATGCTTCACATTCCCTGCCAATGATTTATAATTAATAAATAAATGTTGCACGTTAATTTGACATTATAGGAAAAGTTTTTTCACTTCTTGAACAAATGTTCTATTTTTAAACTTGATTGTCGAATACCAACTATTAAATTTTTATAGTTGAAACTTCATTTTCAACTCGGAGAACAATTCGGCATTCTAAAAGTTTGTCAATATATTTAATCATTAACATACACCTAAAAACAAACACTTCACATTCAAATAAAAAATGTATAAACATTTATTAACACATTCATATCCTATGTTTATAAATATATGTCAATATTACATTTAATATATAATATACAGTTTATACACGTTATAGAACGGATATTAATCGATTTGATAACTGTGTGTGTCGAACAATTGAAATGTTTCCTTGCACATTGTTCGAACAATTGTTTTGATCTACTGCCATAACATTTTTACCAAACCTTTTATAATAATAATTAAACTACCAATAAATACTTATTACCGTTTCATTGCATGCTATACAATAGTTTTTTTTATCTTCTGAACCTGTGATTATTTTTTAACATATGTCTTTTCGTTTTCATCATTCATTTTGTATCGTCATTAAAACCGACTTTTGATATTTATTTCTTTATAAGGTTAAGAAAATTTGTATCGTAATGCATTCAGAAAGTACTAAATTTGTATTGTGCTTTGCTTCTACTGTTTATTTTGCAATGACAGACAAAACATCAAATCTGAGAACTTGGAAACCGGTAACAACATTTTACTCATTTTGCTATGTTTTTTTATATACAAACCTCTTATATTGTTTAGTTTTCATAAAACTAACAATTTTTTCTTATTTTCAATAGTTGAATAGCCTATAGCAGACAATGGAATTGAGATAGATATAGAAAATGTTTGCACCAACGTAGAGAATATAAATACTGAAAGACAGAAAGCGAAACATCCATTGATAGGTTGGATATCATGCATTCAACAATCACTATTATTTCTAATCTAATGATTGGATATAGATTGCTGCAAACGAAAGGAACTGACAAATCATCAGGATAAGAAATGAAGAATGCCAAGTACACTTTCTTTTATAATTAATCTATAATAAATAAAAACAATACATTGAATTCCAAAATACAATCAATGGCTTATGTTTCTCATAATTACATATTACATTTTCCAATAACATCTTAAGTTTTTTATGTTTTTGGTAACAACCCATATTCCGAACAATAATAGTTACAAAGTTCATAAAATAATTTTAGCAACACATTAATATTCAGCAATGAAAAATAACATATACATAACATTAACCTAAAAGAATCAAAAATATATACTTGTTCATCTTAAAATCATTTTATAACCTAAAAATAAATCCGTAACAAATAACCCACCTAAAATTAATTTTAAGCATGATAAATTATAATTGGTGAATGAATAAGAAAAATCATAATTATAAAAAATGGAAATATCATATTCAACACTGCACCTTATGAAAAAAAACAACAAATTATCACAAAGAAAATTACATATAATTATTTATCCAACTCCTTTGCCGGATTGTTGAAATTTTGGTTTTGCGACCATGCTTTTTCCCAGGTTTTGATTGGCGAGGTATATCTACTGCCCTCAGCAGATTTTGAAACATTTGAACTAAAACATATCCTTCCATTTCTCCACAGAAAAGGATATGATTCATATGTTTTCATGTACATAAAACCAAACTTTATAAGTATTTCTCAAAAAAATCAAAAATTCAATTAAAATAAACTATTTCTATAATATAACAAACGCATATAGTATGCAAAAGAACATATCTTCAAAACAGTTTCAAACAACACATAAAAAAAACATGATACCGTAAAAATAATTAAATAAATCAGACAAATATAAAGCATATATGATTAATAATGTAAATCAAATTCTATATATTTAAATGCTTCTACATTCCCAAAAAACCAAATATTCTATATACTTTTTAAAACCAAAAAACTATCAAACTGTCTTAATTGCGGCAAAAAAATCATAAAACTATATGGAGGTGTTTGTCTAAGAGTATAAGCGGTCAAACAAGTTTATAAACTCTAAAATTAAGTTGACGTGTGTGTTTATAACCTTTTTGAGCTTATAAGCCAAAAAAAAAATAAGTTGAGGGGGAGGTACTTTTTTTTTTTTCACTTAAAGCACTCTGATTTAAGCTAGTTTGACCAAGTATATTACCACATTATCCTTATTAATTTAAAATTCCATAGTATACCCTTATTAATATAGTACCTTTTTTAGTTATTTTATAATAAAATGTACTTAAGTCACATTTTACCAAACACGTTAATTACTTATCATTTACTTTAAGTACTTTAACCAAACACGTAATTGCTTAAAATTTTATGCTTATAAGCTAAAATTAACTTATAAGCACTTGTCGCTTATAAGCTAATTTTCATAGCTCAGACAAAACACCCCAATTGTATCATTTATATGTTCTGCCAACAATACGTTTTCAACACACTTTGCAAACAACACAAATACAAACAAATTAATTCCATAACAAACATACCACTTCAAGTTTACCAAGCACATTTTCCAGCTTTAAAGCAAGTTTATGGTTCTCCTGAGTTAAAATTTCAATGTGTTTTTTTTAAATAAAAAACAACACACACAAAAAAAAAAAAAAAATAAATCAATACAATAATTAAAGGTCATTATAAAAAACATACTTTACTAGATGGTTTGGGAACTAAAATATAAACTTATGTATGTGAATTGACATGTACAAGAATTATCATGAGATGTAACCTTGCTTGTACTTTCTATTAGTTATATCAAGTAATCAATTTTCTGTTCCAGATTTTTCTCTTTCCTAATGGACTCAGAACTCTCCATACTCAGTATGTTAGTCTTGATCTTCTCTTCACTTTCACTATGAATAATAGAACAATCAGATGCTCAATATCTTCATTTCGCCTTTCAAGATCTGTTCTTGAAAATGAGCAGAACAGTAATATTAATTATAACAAGGCGCTTTCCTTTCTTCAACACTTGATTTGAGGTTGTATGCTATCAACGGTACATACCTACTACTTCATAGAAAAAAAAACATAATATAATCAATATTGCAAAAATATAAAAGCCCAACACACATACTTAATCATCACTTCATTATCCATGCATATCAAACAAAGCTCATAATATAATATAAACAACAGTTTAATAACTCAAACAATAAGAAAAAACCAAATAAAGCTTCCATTTCTTCAAACTTGACTTCAGGTCTCCATGTACAATAAAATTTCAAAAATCAATCTTGCAAAACTAAGCCCAAACACATACTTAATCCTACTCTCATTATCCGATGTATATCAAACAAAGCTACACAATATATATAAACAAACAGTTTAATAACTCAAAGTAAAAAGAAACGAAATAAAGCTTCCCTTTCCTCATCACTGATTACAAGTCTCCATGCTATCAACATACCAAAACAAAAACATAACGGAAATGTATTCGCAATCAAATTTCAACAAAACAAAGACTTGCAAACAAAAAAGAAAAAGAGCGAAATAAATATACTTACATTCTTACAAATGTTGTTTAGATACTGCAGAAGCTTTAAACAAACCAAAAGCAATAGTCGAAGAAACGGAGGCAAGACACTAACACATACAAAACGGCGAGGTAATGACGCTGAAAGTGTACTAAAAAATACCCTATTAAATAGTGAACCAATTTGAAATAAAACCAGCCCAACAATGATAGTGCATTAACTATCGGGTCCAAAAAAATAACAACTTAACATTATTCCAAAAGTGTCCAATTCAAAAAACACTTAATTAATATTACCATTTTGGATTAAAATATTTGACAATATATAATTTGAAACGTAATATATCCAAATCAGTATACATACGATTAATTTTAGCAAATTCAATTAAATAAGATATATAAATGTGTAATAATGAAAAAAATACTATTATTAATTTTTATCCACTGTATCAGAAAAACCTATAATAAAATATTTCTTTTCACTCAAAATTTATAGCAATTAAAATAAAATATTATTCATTAATGGAACTTGAATAATGTCAAAATGAAATTCATAACCAAATAAACATGATCCAAAAGATAAACAACATGTCGAAATCCAATTTCAAAAGCAACACGTCGACCTTCAACTAGTGATAATGTTATATGTTAATAGTGTAAGTGTAGGATTAGTAGTTTGTGGGAACTTTCTAATAAACCCTTTTTTAAGGGGTAAAATAAAAATAATAATTAATTTTTATTAAATTGATGAATTGATTATATATATACGAATTTGTCCCTTAGTTTTTTTTTTCTTCCAAATTTATGTGGGTTAAGTGGTAATCACCTAATTTCAACATAAATTTACTAAAAACAAATAAATCCGATTTTTTTTTTTTTTTTTTTTTTTTTTTTTTTTTTTGAGAAGGGTCAAGGTACTGCGGCCATCGCGCCCAATCATCGTAGCGCCTTCTCACTTTTCATCGACTCAAACACCTGTGCCGGTAAATCTACCACCGTTGTAGCTATAACAGTTATTTTAACTAAATTTTGCGGCAAGTTTCGACAAACGAATAGTAAATAAAAAGTGCATCAGGAAAACAATTTCTTCAAGCGATCATTTTTAACAGCTAATTCTACAAGTTCGCTTGTGCATCTCACCTGTTCGATGAAACACCCAAATTGGGATTTCTTTCATTTTGCACACTCCAATGCTGATGCATTATAATGAATTGCTGTGTTACATAAGCATATATTTTATGCTTCATTTGATAGTTTCTTTTTTCACATCATTAACTTAGATTTTTTCTATTCATTCATTCTTTTACTTCTACTTTATTGTTTTTGTTCTTACATTCTTGCTTCTTCTTTTTTTAGTCCCGCAGATTACAGGTTTTGATTAACTCGCTGTAGAAGCTTAACTGAGAGCAAACATGGATGGTATGTAAAAGCTGCTAAACTTTCTATAATCAATTTCGTATCAAAAAAATAAAAATAAAAATAAAAATCCTAACCTATTATTATTATTGTTAACAGAAACATTTCGGTGTGTGAATCATCAAGAAACTTTGTCACATTCAAACTCCATTTTTTTTTTATAACTTTCTGCAACTCATACGCCTAATAGAATGAGTGGTTGAAAATATATTTTAGATTTTTTTGGTTAATGTGCCCCTAGTAAGTTTGATGGTGTTTATGTTTCGAGTAATACTACACATACAATATTGTTATACAACATTATGTGTGATAAAATATGATTGGCTGATTTTAAATTAAATTAAATTTTCATCCAACCATCCTTTGCCACATAATGTTATATGAGAATGTTGTATGTGTAGTATTATTCTTATGTTTCATCAATTCTTTATTTGGCCTTTAAGAGTTTTCATTTCAGTGGCCTATAATCTAGTTCTTGATTTTATTTTATTTTTTGAATTCCTCCCACTAAGTTAATATTTGCCTCATAAGGTTTACACCTCACTCTGTTACGTGCCTTATGTTAATTCCTTTGCATGTTAAAAATGCTAATTACTTTTTAGACCTATAATTGGATTCATGACTTTGGTTGTTACTTTGTGGGCTTCAGTTGATTCACAGCCAACAATGGAGGAAACTATCTTGGTTGGTGATGATCTAATGACGGGGCCGCCATCCCCTATCATCCCACCAGAAATTGCTTCTCATGTTCTTGAAGGTGTTGATTTATGTGATGGGATTCTAAGAAATCTGTTCCTCTGTAAGTCTTTATTTCTAATAGTTGAAAAATGTTTCAAATTAGCTTTTGGAATGGTTCTATATTTTGCTAGTGTCAGGTTAAGTCTTTCTATGAAGTGGTCTGTAAGCCATGCTGCTTATATTCGCACCATAATAAAAATTGTGGAGAACTAAGGTCCTTTTCTGCGAGGCCTTAATAAACCTGAAATATAGTAATTGCGTCTATGACTGCTGAATAATGACTGTTTGAATGTGTATTAACGAAATCCAGTATCAGAGTGAATAATTGGGTCAACATTGAATTCTATAGTGTGTCTGACTTGTAATGGTACCACATTCATGGTTTCCAGTATTTTAGTTGAATCAAAATACGCTTTTAAGAGTAATTTATCTCTCTTTTTATTATAGGCTTGCAAATCAATGACATTGAGCCATTCTGTCAGGAGGAGATTGCTTTGTATCGAGAATGTTCTGAAAAGAGGGTGAGAAACTGTTATTTCTGTTGGTGTCTGCTCTGTTTTTCTTTTCCCCAATGTTTAATATGTAAAATGGGCTTTTCTGAAACGTCTCTATTTTTCTGAAACGTCTCTATTTTTCATACTGCTATGTCAATTTCTCTGCAAAATTGAGTTGCAGGATAAGGAACTACGGCAGAGGCTTCAGGATAGTGAGCACAAATTGGGATTATCAATGCCTTTAGCTCAAGCAAAGGAAAGAGCTGCTCAGCTTGAATCAGAAGTCACATCACTGGAAAGGTGATTTCTGAAGTGATGGATTATTTACTTCATATGTTTATAGGCTCATGAAATTTTATTAATGATGGTATAATGACTCAATCATGTCAGTTAGAGAAATTATATTAAACTTCTTTTAATTGGATAAATGCTAAATTATGTGGAAAATTTCTTATTGTTAAATGTACTCCCTAAAATTTTCTGGTTTTGCCCCTGCGCTTTGATATCTGTCAAATAAAATGTAGATGCGGAGATAATTGCATCACTGAATCCATGGGTCCACGGGCCCTGGCAGATATAATCCCTGTCATAGTATGGTTTCTATATCACTTAGCAGACTCAATTTGACGGATTGTCTTTTGCGATCATTTTGACAATTTATAGCTTGTGATATAGATAATTATTATCCTCTGCCTTGTTGCTGCTCCTGCCTCTCTCTGCTACATCCTTATGATTCAAATAACAGTTTACCTGTCTTTAACCTATTGGATCAGTATTGAAACATAAGGACCTAACAGTCAAAAGTAGTGATAGCCAGTCATATTCATTTATTTAAATTGCATATCTCTCTACTATAGTACCCAAAAAAAAATAAAAAAATTCTTTTTGTATGATTTTCTCTTTGGAAATTACTTGGCACTTATTACTTTGATATTTGCAGACGCTTGATTCTTGCTAGTGGAATGGAAGGAATAGAAGGATTTCGTCAGAGATGGAGTTTACATGGTCGTTTTACAGATACCAAGTAATCTTTGTAACATTTATAAATCTTGCTTAGAAGGCCTTTCTTATTGGTGGCTTACTACTAGGAGCTTAACCATTGGATTGATAAGTCTTTTGTTTCATAAGTCTAAAATTATTATTTAATTTTTTTTAAAAGAAGATAGTAAAAAATGTATGAGCTGTCCAAAATTAAAATCTAGTGAGGTAAAGGTAGATCAGGCAAATGGATTTTCACTGAGAGGACCATATTCCCTACAAATATCTAGATATGCGAATTGGATATACCCTGAATCAGCCTGAACTATTAGCTTTATAAGTCTTGCGAGTTCTTAACTATGAACAACTAGACCTTATATAGTCATTGATTATTTACAGTTATCAATTTCTGCAATAGTCTAGTTAAATGGTTTTTCTTAATATTTTTGCAGGAAGAGGCTAGAGTCCTTAAAGCAGGGAATGGAGAATAGAAAAAAGGATGAACCAGCGGTAGTTCCAACTGGCAAAAAATGGTTCTTTTGGTGAAGGGTGTTGCAGCGTTTTGTTAAATTTCATCACGCAGACAAGAACAAACAAACAATATACTCCACGCATTCAACATGCTTCAACTCACGTGAGTCTGCTGCATCATAAAACTTTCCTGTGAAGCCTTTGACTGCCTTATCAATTTTCTTAAAACATGCAGTGAAAACTGTGATGTAGCCCAGGGTTTTCTCCTGTTTAAATTATTAAATATATATTTTGAATATTCTAATATCAAGTAACTGAGTAAGCATGTGTTGTTTAGGAAAATTTCTAGCCAGAGCTCAAGTGCAGCATGTATACACACTTCATGAAATAATTTAATTTATTGATCATTTCGGGAAAAAAAAAATAGATAGAATTATAATATTATATACACCATTCACTATATATTACATTTTATGAACAAATAGAAAATATACGTGCAATCATACAGTTTAAAACGTAATATATATCAGCTCTCCATTTCTTACCACAGACAAGGTGAAAGGATATAGAAACCTTGTGATTGAAAACCTAGAGATCCTGACCTGTCAATAAGTTCCCTTGATTGGTTGCCTTCAATGGCAACTCATGTCAGCATAAACGGGAAGAGGTTCACTCTGATTCAAAACCTTTGGTTGCTTTCTTTTTGGGTTTGATCCATTTCCATGCTTTTTACCACCTCCCTGAATATGAGCTTTTCCAATGTTTCAGAACCGTTAACGGCAGCTTCCGTTGCATGGTCCCCAATCTTCTGTGCAGTGCTACACTCTTATGTTAATCCGGAATTCCAGATGGAATTCTAGGACAGGTAAGGGACGGTTGTAATATGTACTCAAGAAAATAGGATTCATGATTACCAAGAGCAAAGGTTTATAGCTATCAAACTTCCAAAATCCACGAGGTACATTCTTGAAGGAGTTGAAACTTCTGACGAATAGCTATGCTTAAGAAGATCTGCATTTTGCTACGGAAATCAGACACATCTTCCTTGCACCTAAATGAGCCAGCACATGCACATTGTTCTGCTAAATGTGCAGCTTTCACCTGGTTGCACCTCATGCATACCAGATCCTGCAGATGGTAGAGCCGCTCTCTCTGTCGTACAATTTGGAGAAGAGCATTCTCCATCACCTCATGATCATAAGGCTGGCCACACTGCGGCATGGCACAACGCCACTCCTGAGCCTGTAAAGCCAAGTCACGACACAAATCCAAGTCTCTACAGTCATTGCAATAGCTGTTAAAGAAAAACCAAGAATCAGCAAAAAATTTGTACGTAAGAATATTTAAACCAGATTCTCTCAATTAACGACTTCATAAATGATAGAAAACGTCCCTTAAGTTCAACATTTATAATGTAAGAACTCTTTTAGTCAACACAATACATAGATATAGGTTGCCAAATTTGTTACCTGCAAATCACATTTGGTAAGATGAAGGAAGGGCAGGGATCACGAAACTGAGCTTCTGGAGCAAACTCCTTCACACGCACATATTTTAAAAGATTCTTTCTCATCACCTGTAACACCAGTATGAAACAGCTCAGAGGAACTGAAGGTTAAGCATACTTGTTGAAGAGTTCAATCACAAACAAAACAATGAACAAAATAAACTAGAAAATCTGAAACAAAGTAAAACAAAACCAAAATTCTTATATTTCAAATTATTACTATTATTATCATTATTATTTCTTATGTCTTTTCTTCTTTCTTTTTGTTTTTGAAGAAACTATGACAATATCATTGAAAATATAATTACAAGAGTGAACAAGTTGTCCACAAAAATTAAGATCCAAGGTTCACAAAAAGATCTACACATATTTCAAATTATTCAACATATGGACATGGATCCCGCATCTGGATGCATGCAAGTTGACAATATGGAATGCTACTATAACATCACGATCAATGATTAAAAAAAAAAGAGAGAGAGAGAGAATAAATTATACAGAGTAAATATCAATATAAATACTTATGGATTCAAACAAAAATATAAAGATTAGAAAGGAAAAATTCCAAACCCCAGTTAGGTGTTTGAGAGAGAGAGAACGGAAATAGTAAGAATGGAATGAGAGGCAGAGGAAGAGAACAATACCCCATACAATGGACAAGAAGACATGCACTAATTTTTTTTTTCTTCCACTAATGTGAAATTAATATTGTGCAACAATTAAGAGGTAGTTTCTGCATGACTTGATTTAAATTATATGATGGCTCAATCAGTATGGAAATATTACCAGAACATCATGCTGAACACTTTGGTCGAGGGAAAAAACAGCACAGACATGCTTAATGAACTCCAAAGCAGCATCAACTTTGTGGATACTACCAGCAGGTTGCAGAACCTCGTGTGAATTTTGTTTATCACTCTCAGATCTGTTTATCCTCTTCATATGATGAATACTATCACGAACAATCCCGAGAATTTTGCCTGTGAAATAAGAGCTGATCTGTACAACACATTCAAAATTCAAATCAGTCAAATTTGACCTACGAACTTCAAGGAATCAATAAACGTGCAACTTTTGGCAACTGAAACCCTGATTTGTACCTCGCCTTTCAGATATTCCGCCATGTGCGACTCAAAGGTCTCTGCAGCTGCAACAGTGATTGATGGAGTGCATAAGTTGCCATCCCGCAAAGATGCTCTACTTACAGCTTGCTTTTGTGCATATTTCCAAGGGATGTACATAAACTCAGAGACAACTAGAACAAAATGATCCTGCATAAAGCCCAGAAGATTACTGGAAAAAAACAGAGTGGCAAGACCAGTACCCAGACGTAGCTTAGAAAGGCTAAGACATTAACCATGAACAAGTCAAAATCTAGGATATTAGTAGACCAATAATAATGTACCTCAAGTACGCCTATCATCAAAGATAGAAACTTTAACGAGTTGACTTACTTGAATGTCCTTGGGTAAAAATTCAGCAATATTCCAGCTTGATACAATATCCACTTGTGAGTTATCATCAACAATTTCATCAGTTCGAGCAGGGATTCCACCATAGTTATACTATCAGAGAATCAAGAATAACCTTAATTATTAAATAAGTATAAATTGCCCAAATAATTTCTACTTGGTATATTAGCAAACAATAATTCCAAATGATAAGAATTTTAATTCTTCCATTGTTTAATTTTCAATGTCAGATTGAGCATCAGATTTTGAAATTTTTCATCAGTAAAATAGAAAGCAGTAAAGTGACCAAACCTGGTCCATAAAAAGCAAGGAATGCCAGAAGTGCACTGGTTCAAGCTCAATCCACTCAAATAGTTCTCTACAAAAAAGAAAAAATATTACAGAGGAGGAGATAACTGAAAACATCTAACAAATCCTTGCCAACACCAACCTAGTTTGCAGAGCTTTCAGCAAGCTATCACAGTAAGCTTTAGATGCAGATAGATCGAATTTTCCAGTGTCTATAATGACCTTTGAGAAGTTTGCGAATATTATTGTGGCACCTAATTTGCGAAACTCAGCCAACAGCAGCGCAAACACCTTTTGCATGACCTATGAAAATTAATTTTAAAAAAATCATAAAATTGCATGGCAACAGAATATGTGAAAAGTTTAATGTAGCATTCATAAGAAAAATGATGTTTATCAAAATGATCTCACTAAAATATCTATAATAAATTTCAGCAAGGATTATCAAACAGTTTGGCATAGAAAACAAATGAAACAAATTATCAGATTACACTAGTAGCTCTTTTTCTTCATAGAACACTTCCCTTTATGAAATATTATACTACAACATTTACCTTGTGAAGAATGCGATGAAGCACTGGATCATGAAGTTTTGAATGGGGGCTGCAATATAATAGTAAAAGGAGTAATTATGAGTGAAAGAAGAAAATTTGGTGACATATGTTAAGAAAGACCAACCTGCAAAGCCAACGATATAGATGTTGCAATATGGCATCAGCAAACACATTTCCTGAAGTAACGGCATCTGTAAGGCACCTCTGGATAAGTTGTTTCAGGACACGAAGTGCTGGGGCAGATGCAGTACTCTCATCAAACCCACACTGTCCATTATCAGTATGAGATCTCAAATTCATATCCTGGTCAAATCCTAACCAACCACCTCCTTCCATTTCATTCACTTGGTTGCTTTTCAAAAGTGCATTGACTGATAGATGATGAATCTGTCAAAAAACATTTACAATCAGCTCAATTAACCAAATCACCACGACCCCCTTCCACCCCGCTCTCTGAAAAAAAAAAAACAAATAAGAGGTAGAGAGAGAGGAAATGATATTTTGTTGACCTTCAGTTCCACAGCAACTTTTCTATATGCTCCAGGATATGTTAGAGTAGGTTGATGGACCTATTTCAAAGTAAACACTACTAAGGTCACCAGAAAAAACTAAAGGAGAACTAGATGCTTCTAATTGAAATAAAACAAAAGAATGACAGAAGCAGAAATGAACTTCACTTTCTTTTCAAGGTGAGAAAAGATACAAAAAAGAAAAAAGATCACAGTCCTGGTATATAGAGATTTTTATTCAAAATCAACCTCATCAGCAAAACACGTATCTTCTTCAGTAGTGCCTCCTAAATCTGGAATGCCATCATCTGATATCCAAAGTACCTGTGAGAACCAATATTCGACTTATTTTGGAAATTTATGGGAATAATAGCGGGAAACTATTGAAATTCAAGAAAGACAAACTCTAAGAAAATGCAAAAGATACATTTTTATAACCAGAAAGAAAAAAGTTACTAATATGTTAGCAACAAGCTATCCAAGGACTTTAAAAACCACATTTCGACAAATTATTTTAAATTGGAGAAATTAAATTAAAGTTATATGAAGCTTTCCCATCAAACCTGCTGCTGATCACGTAATGCTCTGGAAAAGAAGACATCAGCAGTAAACATAAGCCAGTCAGGTTCAAAATTTCCCAATGGTACCTGCCCCAACAAATTTAGAGAGTTCATATTCATATTACCAATAATATCCGCAGGCAGACATGTTTACCATGCATTTAAAAAAATTTTACATGAGCATATTTTGCAAGAGAAATTCTTTCATTAAACCACTGAGCTGATGCAGCACAACGATGCATTCCAATTTTCGCAGCATTTTGTTGCCAACCAAGAACCTGTAAAGAGCATAAATGTTGAGAGATAATATGAGCTTGATCAGGTACATTGACGCACTCAATATGCAGAAATCAGCACATCCATGTGAAGGAACTATTAGTTAAGAATAGTACTACCTGATATTGACTATCACGAGCATTAGCAGGAATGCTCACACAAGGGAAATCATCAAGAACTCGTATACCTGACCTCAATAATTGAGAGTTTGGGCATTCAATAACTGCAATCGTAGGTCCATAATGTTCATGTCTGTCATCCAACATAATCATCAGGCAATTTCAATTGCTTTTGTGAAAACAAATAGACTAAAATCTAAGCAGTAAATGAGTGGAAAGAATATTGTTCAACTTCTCAACTAAAGGGAAAATCGGAAAATCTAGGATTTGAAAGCCCTCAAAAGGGACACTTGAAAAGTCAATGAAGGATACATGAAATAAGTGAAACTTCAAATGATTTCAGAATCCTAAACACATGACCATATTTATTGTAACCATTAGTCAAGAGAGAAGCCTACTTTGAAGAATTTTAATATCATATTTAACCAAAATCACAATGTTTGGGATCCTCACAAACTCGCTACAAGAATGAAGTCACATTCATTGACCATATTTATAGCTCTAGTTTTTGAAAGATGTGTGATTGTTAGAAACTTTGGTGCTAAACAAAGCTCCTAAAATCCAAAACACGGAAGTATAACCAAATGCCATCCTCTGAATTGAATTTTCAGAAAAGAAATTAATAGAAGGTAAAACCTGTTTTCACTTATTGCTCTTTGTAAAATCTTTTCAGCATCCTTGACAGATCCCACGTAATCCACCTGAAATTTGCATACAAGTAGAACATTGATAAGAACCACTTTAAGTAAAACAGAAAATAGAGAAGCCCTTGAAACTTTACCTTGAACACAATACGATCCCCAGGAGGCAATTCAGTGGACAAAGTTCGGCATGCTTCACGGAATTGTTTTTCAAGGATGGAAGGTGATAATTCTCTATGTTGATGAGGACTAACCACCACAACTGTTACTGTTCTTGATGTAGGAAAATATCCAACATATATAGCACGTCCTTCAGATATGCTGAAGATAAAAAACAAACATATCAGTGTTTTTTTTCCCCTTTCAAGATAAAGATCACATGCAGGACAGCAAAAGCGAGTTGAAATATGATAGCCGAATCAAAGGAATTATGTCCTGGATTCTTTATTTTTTAGTAGTAACATGAATTTGACAATTAGAAATGAAAAACTAATGTACTGTTAAAAACTAAAACAAAAACAAAAAAAGGCAAGGTGCTCATAACCTATAGAAACTAAATGAGAGGGGACATATATATTACATGGTAATGATCCTACAGTTGCTCTTCCTCTATCTTAATAAGGCATCTAACAACCACTTGCAACCATGCTTAGTAACAGTACATCACATAGGTCCAATATGTATAATAAATGTATAATAATATATACCTATTTGAATCAAAAATAAATCTAGTCTGCCTTACCTTTCCATATTCTGGTCATGTGTTTTATTTGAAATATTAATGGAAAGGGCCCTAAACAACAGGTTAAGAGGCTCATCATAGAACTTAAGAAATGGAAAGATATCACTCAGAGAAAGCAGATTCTCCTCCTAGCTAAATATTAACTGGTCAGGCATTGCTTTGAATAAGCCATAGAACAACACATACGGATCATGAAGCCATATCCTCATATGATACAAGGGTTTACCTATGATACAAGTAAAAGAAAGAGACCGAATGCTCCAGATAAGAACATTCTGTTGTAGTCTTCATGTGCAGCTCATTCAGGCTCCAACCATCCTGGGAATTTCGTTTCCTAGTCGATTTATCCGCTTTACATACACAACCAATCTGGAGGATAGCATTAAACTCTGGTGGCACCTTTGTTTCATATATCCCCTAATCAAATTATTCCACACTATCAAACAAAATCGAACCACATAGATATATAAAACATAAGAAAACAGAGATCAAATGCCAATGAATAATAATAGCCCCAAGATACTCAAAATTTTAACTCCCAAGTCCTAGTATTCTTATTCTTATGGTGAAGGCTTATTTCTAATTTGCTTTTCTTTTTCCCAAAAGACTCTGCAATTATATTCAAAGAAAAGTATGACAGGAATATTTCAATTTCCAGTAAGTGATAAGAGCAACAAAAGAGAAATAACACATCTATAATACCAGCAATATCAAAATTAAACTGTCAGGGAAGAACCAGGATTTTATAACAATAAGCCAAAATTTTAGACGAAAAAATTTGACATAAATTTAAAGTTGAAGATTGAAATTTTACATCCACACATGAAAGAATGAATCATAATTTACCATAAAAAAAATGAACGTTAAAACCATTATCAAGAATTACAATTGTTTTAAGCCCTCATTAGAAATAACTCAACTTAAACTCTTAACCTAACAAACAAGGACAAACAACAGTACTCATGGTGGTTCATTCTAATGAAGGTCACCCATATTCTTTTTAAGGCTATTAATGGGTTTGATTACATTTGTTGTACTAATGAGTAGCAAGGTACAATTAATGGATTTGATTCCTTCAAAGATCTATATTCAACTGATCCTTTCTTTTGCTCAGTTTGGAGTTAAGTCAAAATTCAACATTTTAGATCTATATCCATATATTCATAAGAAAGTAAGAGAAGCAATAGCACACAAAATATGAGGCCGAGTGTCTTCCAAGGAGGGAATGAAGCAGACATCAAAATAGTGTTTAGATAGAATTTTTTTTTCCCTATCAAAAGAAAAAAAAAAAAAAAGTGTTTGGATAGAATTTTAATTTAATACATGATTCAACAAAAAGTCAAATCAAAATGCATGAGAGAGATTCGTATTAGATAAGAATCAAGAGTCAAACTTGCTTTTGTGGAACAATAGTCAATGAAATTTAAAAAATGTAAGGGCTTTCAAATGTGCATCCTTAGAACCTTAAAAGTCGAGTAAAGAATATAATAGGCTAGTGTTATAAAAGGGGGGCAATTTTTTTTTTTTTTGGGATAGGAAACATAAAAATGTATTAAAGAAAAAAATTAGAAAGTGGATCAGAAATCCACTCCTACAACAGTAACCCATCTAAAAAGGGAGGCAATATTCACCCATTGTAATCATATTTTCATTATTATATATACGTAAATTAATGTTTTCTCTAAAATTGTTTACTTTTCATTGATTTTTCCTTGAGAAATATTTGCTCCAATGGTGTTTGGAGTGATTTTAATTCCTAGTTTATTGAATCTAGTAGACTATATTTTATTTTCTATTTTCATCATACACTTAGATACTTGGTAAGCATGCATGAGGAATTGGGGCCCTTTGCTAAGCACATCAATAGATAAAGATCAAACCATGGACAAATTTTAAATTTAAAAAAAAAAAACCATACATAAAAGTAGAAAAAACAAAAGAAAATTTTCTGACAATAGCATGAAATGATAATATGGCTTAAGCACCCGTAAAAAACAAAATAAAAGAACTTTTGAAGGTCGTCATGCTAAAGACCAATTACGAATCTGCATAAGTTACCCAAATGAGACCAAATATATGCATTATAATATGCTGACCTCAACTTCTGGATCTGCAAGGAGGGCAGCAAGCTTTTTGCTCTCTTTCCTAAATAGATCTTCATGAATCATAACCTATTAAATTTCAAAACAAAAAGAACTAAATCATCGAAATATATCATATGAATAAAGGGCTAAAGGGATCATAATTGTAACTTGAAGAGGAATAAAACTACGTATGACATATACCTCAATTAGGTTATGGCTATGCTTTCCATGAGGAAGAGCCTTGTTGACGCACCTTCCAGGAAACTTTTCTGTAATGGACTCTTTGGAGTTAAGATAAAATACCCGTTGAATGTTTATAGGAATCTTAAACATGATTCCTTCAACAACAACCCAAGCGAAAAGTACACCATTCTCTGAACTTGGAACTAGTTGTATAATCTGAACCATAAAAAGATAACATTAAGTGGTCTCAAACTACACTTCCATCTACATCTTTTACACTGAATGAAATTTCAATACCTGCCAATGGCCCTGTGTTAGGGTTACTTCATGCCTCCTAAAATATGAACCAACACCAGTTCTGTCCTGAACCTCTTTACGGTTTGTCACACCACCTAGTCGCTCAGAAACACCATTGGCATGGTGTGAGGTCCTTAGACTGCCCAACCTGAAAAAGTGAATGCTGTTATGCTTGAAAGCACGTTACTTGAACCATTAAGCAGAACTAAATCAATGCTCAAACTACAACAACCACCCACCATGGATGTAAACACACAGTTTATGCAGATGCCCACAGGATATCTGATTTATATGAAGTAGAAAGTTCAAAAAACCAAAAACGACGCGTCGAAAAAAAATGATTTGATTACTTTTTTTTCACAAATTGTGGACCCACTCATAATAAAATAATTTTTAGGGTCAAAAGTGAAGTATTCCTTCTAAATGCACTGGGAAGCTGGAAAAAGGGATTGATAACATGCAAGACCTTGCAGTGATCATCATGTTAATCAAATCCTAGATCTTTTCCATATGCACACAACAAATACAAGTGGCTGTCTTTGAATTTGCATCACTGTGATTTGGACATTTCAGATTTGAAACAAACCTAAAAAGGAAGAAAATCTTTAAAACCTTGGATTATACCTAATCTCGTTTTGCATAAAATAGTACTCATAACACCAACATGGCCCTTTGCTAGGTAATAGAGAACAATGTACCTTTGCCTCTTCCTCCTGTCCAAATTATCTCTCCATTTTCTCTTCTTTGATTCAAGCCATCCTTGGTAATCTACATTTCTGTCAATGTTTTCATTATTGTGTTGCAATGATGAGGACTGCTTAAGCAAATTTTCACTAGGATCAGTTTTTTGTTGCAAGGCATATATTTCCCCATTGGTCTTGACTGCCTGTTGTTCATTATTGACTTCATAATAACGGACAATTGGCCTACATTCCTTTACTGAACTACTCTTGTTTCGAAAGTCTTCCAGATCTTCAACATTCTCATCCATCACATGATTATTGGTAAAAGCATCACCAGTCTTCATTAACAAATCATCTTTGTTGAATGCACTGAAAATGTCAACTAATTTCCTTTGACGAAATTTATCTTCCTTCTCACGAACCTTTTTGTGCAACCAATCAGGATGAATAACCCTAGGAACAGGATTTGCAACCTGTACAAATTCCAATCATTTTAGAGACTAAAAATGGATAGATTGCTTAAAAAAGAACAACAAAGAATAAGAGGACCTTCTGCATTGCAGCAGGAATAGTAATAATTTTTTGAACTGCTGAGCTAAGCCGTTGTTTGTAATAAGACCAGTCAACAATGGATCGAATGCCAACGTCTGATGAAGTTTTGCACCACTTGCGTAAATAATATTTCATTATTTCTGCAAAATATAAACCTCACTTTAGCATAGAAGAAGCAAAAAGAAGGATAAACTATAGTCCAAATAAACAACAGCACAATTTACCGGGATTAGTTTCAAATATTGCAACAGGAACAGCACGCTCACTAACAGGTGTTCCCTGATCACATTAAAATTGGATGAATTTTTTTAATAGAGCATCCATGAAAGAAACAAATAAAATAAAAAATTAGATGCATGATGTCAAGTGCATTACAGTGATGATATACAAAAACAGAAAAGTGCAACAAAAAAAAATGACCAACATGAAAAAAAATTAGTTATTATAGTTAAAAACCACGAAAATTATGCACAGTGTACTTAAAGGAAAAGGGAGTATCCCACTTGAAAGAAAAAGAAAAATAAGGAAATTGCAACATATATTAGCAATAAGTTGCAAGGGAGAGAAAAACTTAATGGAAGATGACATTTAAAACAGAATGGGCAGTGCCAGTGAATTTCAAGTTCATCTTCAAGGTCGGTAGATTTAGCAACAGCAAAACTTGTCATTTTGATCATATAGCAACAATGACATGAAGATGGATAGCATCCAAGCATGAAAAAAGAGTTTATGATTGATGTGCCTTGACCTAAAACAGAGGATATACCCTTGGTTCAAATGCAACTATATAGTGGCAAAGGAGTCCTTTATCTTTAACCATTGTATCACCCAGAAAATCAGAAAGACGCTTTGCTGTGGTCACTGCACACGACTTTTGTTCACCATATTCTGCCAAAGACTTGCTCATTGTGCTTGATTCTGATATGTAGTCCAGCAACTCACAATCTGCGATATCTTTTCCTTGATTCTGAAAGAGAAAATGAAAAAGCAAAAACAAAATCTGAGGGTGCGTTTGTTTCAATATTTTTACACTGTCCTACCCAAAATACACATTTGTTTCCTCATTTTGAAAATCTTATTCTATTTTATTCAATTATTTTTAAACCCCCTAGGTTTGTTATTTAACTAAACACCTCCAAAAAAAAATTTAGAAATTGACAAAAACACCCCCACCCACCCACATTTTCCAAATCCCGGCCACCACCGTCGGCAGGTAGCCGAAATCTGGTATAATAGCACACTACCGGTTGGATCTAGCCAGTAATGCGCCGATCTAGCCTTTTTCGACCAGATTCACAGCCAAAGACAACCAGATCTTTAGCCGTAGCTGGTCGTCAACGACAGCCATATTTTTGGCCATTGCTGACGACCAAACATGGCCACATATGGCCGTCAACGGCCAGATCTACAACCGACCAGATTTACAATGGATCTGGCTAGAAAAGGCCAATGCGGCGACTCCGGCCACCCTCAGACAGGGTGGCCAGCTGCCAGTATTTAATGGATGGGTGGGAGTATTTTTGTTAATTTTCAATGTTTTATTACAGGGGTGTTTAGTAAATTAACAAACCTAAGGGGGTGTTTTTGTTAATTTTCAAATCCTAAATTGTAATAATCACCCAACTCTTACTTTTTCAAAAATCATATCCAAAATAATAAAACAAACACCCTAAACTATCCCCACTATTCTTTCTATGATTAATCATGAAACAATAAACATCTAAAGAAAGGAAAGAAAACAATAAAAAGAAAAGGAAAAAAAGACAGCAATTGGGAACTCAATGCAATGCCTAAATAAAAGTTAAAATTGCTGAAAGAATATGTATTATAATTTCACATACATCAAGAAGATCAAGCCACCGGTTCGCCACAGCAGCAACAGCGAAGTAGCACTCCTCTAAGGTTGACCCATGAAGGAACTTATCAAAAAGTTCACCCTGAAAACATATGAAATATTAATACATGTAAGTCAACTGCTATGAAGATTCTTCCATTGGAAAAGATAAAACAAAGAATTATTCCAAGAGATTTTTTTTAACATTTATACGTGTAGCTAGAATAACAGAATCACAATTCTATTAACAAATACTTCTTCAAATTAAAAAGAAAAGACAGGTGTTCATGAGATGAGCATAATTCCAAAATAAACTCTCTATTTCTTGCATTCACTCAATGTAGAGGCACTCCAACAGTATCCTTTCCAGATGTTGAGGACACAGACACATGAATAAGCCATACTTGTAGAGCATTTTGAAATTTTTAACTACATTTTATGAAGCACTTTAAAAAAGAAACCTCCACCAACAGTTATGTTAGCAGAGTATCCTCATTATGTATCATCTAAAATTCCATTCTTGTCAGAATGCATGAAAGGATAGCAATGATAGTATTTATAATTATCAATAGGTGTGTGATTTCATTGACCCTCAAAATGAAACGTCTAGGCTTTTTAACCAGTGGAAACAATCTTATTAAAACAAAGATCAATTTTTAAATACGAAGATAAACGATTAATTGGATATGTTGTAGGTGAATCATTTTATATAGCTCTCATATCCTGATAGCATAGTGATTAATGTAGGTTGAAAACTTACCCAGCTTTTACAACATTGGTGGAAACTTCTAAAGATATAAACCAGAGCATAGCTTGGAGGCAACTACCCAGATATATAGTGGGAAACCATCTACGTTTGACAAGACAAGGTATGTTTGAAAACAATGGATACCTGGAAAACTTTAATGAGCTTCAGCTCCCCTCTACGCTTTACTTCAAAACCTTTTAGCTCCGCAAGGGTTCCATCGTGATTAAAAACAGCATATCGCTTTTTAATTAAAATTCCCTCTTCCTTAGAGGCAGGAAGAATCATTGCCTACATAAAAGATAATGAATCAATCTGAAACCATGAAAAACATAAGTTAAAATCTGTAATGGTCTATCATTCCTTGCTACCTTGTATGGCCCATCCACTTCAAACTCAATTGAGCATTCACTATGAGTTTCATAGGTTTTGTTGACAGCATCTACAAGTGTCTGTTAAAAATTATGGTTAGAAACTCAGAAGGAAAATGTTGTTGCACAGACAAACATAGCTATTCAGAAATCTAAACCAGTTGCATCAGGATAATTTAAAGTACATCTGCAGGTAAACTAGCTAGGTATCCTGATACAGAAAAAGACTCCAAGCTAACCTGGTATTGGTCGTTTGTATTGTTTCTTGCAACATCAACATTAAGCATTACACATGGATATGAGATTGTCAGTTTCTTCAAGTCTCTGAAATTTGAATTCACAAATCATGGTCAATGCTCTCAGTATATCATGTCAAGTAGGTCACAACCATAATACAGTAGTACTAGCAGTAATGCTGACATGTGTCATAAATATAATGAATGACTAAGCCATGACAATTCAGTTACTAGCTAAAATTAAATTGAGCATATAGTCCCTCAGTTAGTGAAGAGCAAAAGCTTACTTTGTTTTGAAAGTAAAATTCTCTGGAAAGGATCCAGGAAGTACACACCAGATACCATCTGTGTCTAATTCAAGTGGTTTTCCAATTTTTTCAATAAGCAAGCGAGCATTTTGAATGATTTTTGCACCAGTATATGTAACTACACCAGCCATTTCCATTGAATACCATCTAGCACCCCTGGTTAAAAAGCATGTGTACACATCAGTTAAAACATAATGACAAAAGTAATGCTATGTAAATAATTGAAACCACAAACTAAGATTTCAAAACGACGGGAAGGTCACAAACTCACTTGCGCATGACATATCCATAAAAGGAATTAAGGATACACTTGTGAGCAAGTTGTAAGGAATCATAAAGCACTACCATGTCCTGCAAGCATCAGTAAGCAAAGCCAACAGAAATTAGCTGTGGGAAATTGCAAATAGACTTACGTTGCAAAGTTTTGACAAACTGAAGAACAAATGAATACCTGTGCTTCCACGATCTTAATGGAATTTCCACTAGCCTTTGCTTCTGACAACTTCCCCTTCCAAACCTTATTAAGTTTCTTGTATTCATATCTTCTATCACGAAAGCTTGAACCATTCAAAAAGAAAAACTATTCATTTAGTATAGAATAGCAACCAAAAGTAAAATAATCAAGATCTCTAGAATTCAACCTTGCTTAATTTACACCCAGAGTTTCAACAGTTAAGATCAACAGAAAATAGAGAGAAAAAATTGTTACAAAAAAGAATATCTAACTAAAAGATTAATATGAAAAATCACATTGTTTGTCAAAATTTATCTTACCTGCGAACAGTGTCAACATAAAATGAATTTTCCCGCATGCAGATCCCTGCTTCTCGAAGTTCAGTGACTGGCTTGTCAAGTACACGTTTATATGCCTGAGGATGACACAAAATTTAAGAATTGCATGCATTTATTATGCAAAGAAGTCCATTGTGGACATTTTATACCTTCTGACAGTATTTCTTTAGACGCTCCTTGAGCTTTGATTGTTGCTCCGTCTTTGGAAGGTCGAGAAAGGATTTTGATGACTGACCATTGGTGCCATCAACAAACTCAGACTCAATTTGCTTCTTCAAATGATAATAATCACTGAAATTGTTCAAAATTATTTGCAAGCACAATTATCAATGAGACTTTTGCTTACACCAAAAACAAAAGGAAATGTCTTTTTAATAATAAAAACTAAAGAAAAAAAGTGACCTTTTCTTTGCCATAAATATCTCTCCACGCCAAACCCATTCAAGCTTTCGGAGACAAGTTTTGCCTGGACGGTTGAAATCACATGCAGTGCAGATCTCGTCCGTAACAATGGATGGTGGCTGGAATTGAACAAGGAACCTCACTAAATATGAATTAAAATTACTTCGCACATAGGAGAGAACTCAATGACAACAAAGATAATATTTATAAGATGCTGGTAGACTAAATAAATGAATAATTATAGTAGAACCAATGTGTGTGTGTGTCCATGTGTGCATAAAGGGCAGGGAATGGACAGAAAAAGTTTCTTTAACAAAATGAAAAGGAAGATAGCTCTTAGAAAGAATAAACGTTATAGAAATAATAAGATAACTATATTAATTAAAATAATAAAAATACATCAGAGAACATCTTAACTGTACTAATAAATTCGACAACTAATCTATAATCTCATTGGTCTTACTCAACCTAGTCATGGAAATCTTATCCTGACAAGCATACCTGGAGCCGATTTGTTAAAATAATGTTTGGATACATTGCAGCAACATCTAGATGATAAATAAGGGGGCATTCTTCACGTACAGGCTCATCTCGCAACCTCAAAAGCTGCAGACGGAATGTATTAAAGACAAATAAATAATTATTTTCCAGTACATAGCATGTTCATATTTCATAATTAAAATTCAGGCGAATAACAAAGTAAATGACAATATTGAAGCAAGCAGAAGAAGGTATAGGAATATTTTTCAAGACAAAATTAATGAAGATTTTGGCATAATATATCCTATGAACTAAACACTTTTGACTTGTTACCTATATGCAACCATAACAACAAAAACATAAAGAAAAATTAACAAGACACTGGAGCAACTAATATAACTGAAATATAAATCAGTGAAAAGTTCTAAAAGAATAATTCAAGCACAAGCACTACAACGTATGTCAGTGGCTTGATAACAAAATTTATCACCTTTTCCATTATAGCATTCTTCACTTCTTCATAATTGGTGACTGATTCCAGATCCGTTTTGTGCTCTACCCTTATAGCATATTGCAAATCTCGATCAAGGTTATTGATTAATTGCTGGATAAAGAAGCACTTCAAAGTTAGTCAATAAATTCATGAAACAAAAATCTTAATGTTAAGTGATTTGTATTTAAGCACCAATGGATTATGTCCAAACATAATCTATTCACCAATACAAGCCCATACTCCTCAACATAACAAGAATTTGATGCAACGGAGCATATGCATTCACAAAGATGATCACCTAAAATAATTTTAATGCATATTTCTAAATATTCCCAATTACGAGAAACAATGACCTATTTTGAAACAAATAATATTATAGCGGTTGCTTTTTCAATGGAAGTTTTATATTAGAACATTTAGGTTTTGCAATGAGCTTCAACAAAAAGGTAAGCAGATGACTAGGATGAGTTGGAATCCACTATATCATAGCAATCATCATAAATGTTATATAAATAAAAGTAATTAGGCAATAACTTCAAAAGGATGGGATGCTTTTAGTTTTCTACACTTAAAATCAGAAATCACCAATAATCACAATTTATTCTGTAAATCCAAACTTATACTTTAATCGTTAAGTGGTAGTCCATAGACAAACTTTTGAATAGGTGATAGAGTGACCTTAATGTTTGAGGGAAGACAACTATATCCAGAGGTCTTTTTTTTCTTTTCATTAAAACATCTCTTAGAATTTGCTTATGACTACTGCCAAATATATTTACAGAACATTAATTTTTGTAAACTCAACAAGGAAACAAAAAACAACCATAACCAAACTACCTTTTATACTTTTACCAGGATGTAACTCAATTAGTTGAGAATAATATTTTGTCAAACCAAGTCAACTACATCACACAGCAGATTACTTAAGTATTGGCTATTTTTTGGGTTTTATGTTTAGAGAGAAATAGAGGATTTTTTTTATTTTTCTTTTATTAATAGGATGACTTTTTATTTGAGAGCCTCTTTGATTCTTTGTGGCTTCAGTTTCTAAAAATTTCAGGATATTAATTTTTTTTTGTTCATAGAGATTTAAATGTTGTTTTGGTTCAAGTGTTATGTTCGTTTTGAATATTTTCACCTGATTTCACTGCTAGTTTGTGATGAGACTGCCAGTTTACCATTTTTAAACCCATTCATATCATTAATGAAATCAGTGCCATGTTTCTAGTTAAAATGTCATTTAAAAAAGTCTGCAGAAGTTCTTCTGACTGCGATAAAGCATTGCTTAAAATCTAATGAATCTGCAAGGTCTATGAGGTTAATATCTAGTAATGCTTCTTGTTACAAACAGAGAACTGATTGTAATTTTCTCATATAGTATTGACAAATTATACATCAATATATAGGAAAATAAAGAACTAATCTAGGAAATAAATAATCTAATCTAGGAAATAAAAAAATCTAACTTCCTATTTTACAGATTTGTTCCTATTATGTATTGATTACAATCCTAATATCCTATTATAGATTTATACACTCCTATTTTACAGATTTGTTCCTATTACGTATTGATTACAATCCTAATATCCTATTATAGATTTATACACTTAATCATGCAATATCTGTAAGATTTTGCATGATTATCTACAACACTTCTCAAAGTCAAAGTATATAAATAAGGATAAGGTTCATGAGAATCTTAAAAAATAATGAAATCAACCTGAGGACTCAGAAGTAATAGAGTATCTAAGAATTTGTGTTATTCTTCAAGCAACAAGCTTTGTTGTCCCACCTCAATCTATGTTCAGAATATCTTAGACACTCAATTGTAAAGTTCTTACTTGACCTAAAAGCTTAAACTTAGGATAAGCACTTGGCAAAATTATTTCAGTCTTAACATCACTAATATGTCATACTGAATATTGAGGCGGCAATGAAACATTCCTGCCACCGGGAATTGTTCTTTACACTCTAACATGTTAGAGTTTAAGAAAATACATTAAGTATTTTGATCACTTAACCAAATAATACTTCATTAGAGACAATCTTGCTTGTTTCCTAAAAGAAGAAAGAAAAATCTTCTTTTTTTCTTTATAAAAAAAATAATCTTTGCATTCAGGTAAACATGATGAGGAGATCTGGTGTGGACCAGGTTTCCATAAAGAATCAAAAAATGAATGAAGTTCAACCAGTAAATACAAATTATAGCAAATTTCCTAGGACAAAAATCCAGTAAACCAACAAAATCAACCCAGAACCCTTCCAAATTGTGATGAATAAAGAAGAAAAAGAATTCTTACTTCCATGAATTAACATCTTAATTAATAGATAAGTTCATCGCATTAGAAAGATGCACATTCTCATGAAAATGACCAATTTGTCTACTTATACATTGGTCAGTGTTAAGATAAACCAGTAAAATACAAAAAATTTGCTAGGAGCCTTTGAATATCACCAGAAATGTTAGCATTTTCAATTTTAGCAAATGAAATTATCCAATTCATAGTACCAGGCAACGTATTAAATTAGTGTGCCAATTGATCCATCCAGCTCTGTCAGCAATTTTCGATGGATGGTAAATAGATTTTAAGAGATAGAAAGAGAGAATGAGAGAGTTCAATAGAACAGCAAACAATAAGGCAGATGAATATGACTTGCCTCGTAGGCTGCCGGATCGAGCTTAAAACTAGTTGGAAGGTCAGATCTGAAAACACCACTTTCAAGGCATTCCACGTGACCACCAATATATGTTTCGCTCTCAAGAAGGTGGTTCTTATAAAACTTCTCCGAGTCAGATTGATGCTTGTTAGGGCAGATAACATTTGCCTTGTATGCCTGTAACAAACAAAAAATTGAAGTAACCCATAGATGGAAGAAAACTTCCAAAGCTTCAGGGTAAATGAGCACAACAACACACCTGGACCATTAGAAGCATTTCACATAGGGTCCCACTACCTTTGCGCAAAACCTCATCCGGTGCCATGGGAATTATAGTGGCAAGAGAGAAAATGAAGGGATGAACATAGGTCATATACAGGAAATAAGTTGCAACGGCATCAGAAACAGAATAGGAGGCCATCATCTGTCATATAGTTTTCAGCAACAAAAAGAATATCAGAAACATTTTCTCAAACAAGCTGCATAAATACTTAATTGGAAATGTCCACTAAATTGTAACTAACAATGATGGTGTACATCAACAGGGAAAAGGAGTATGGCAATGCTTAGTATTATTGCTAAGAAAGCATTACACATATACAAAAATCTCAGAACAGGCTACCTCAGACAGCCATGCTGATCATTAGAAAATCATTACAGCCATATGAAAAAGAAAGCCTTTTTGCATCACAAAATTACTGCTAGGAATTACCAAAAATATTATAAAAGGGTACTGCATTGTGAAAAGGAAAACAAACATTAAAATTAGCACAAAAAGTATGTAATTCACATAAACAGAGACTGATATATTACAGAATCAAGTACTGACTACAGGAAAATTTTCTTAAAATTTACAATCCAATGGAAGCTGTTAATACAAGGTTAACATATTTGATCATGGCCTACCATTCCCAAACAGTGTTGCAGTCAATTTCTAAAGTCCATATTTTGTAGTAACTGTCTACAAAACAATTTCCATCAACAGTACACAAGTAGGAAAAAATCTAGAAGGCAAAACAACTAGGTAAACACCACATAAACTATTTGAAAATGCCACATACCTGAGGCTTTTCTTTCGCAAAGCGAACCATATCCTCTGGATTCACCTCAAGTGGTTGATAGCCCAACTTTGCCTTTGTAACATACTGACATATACCCAAAAGGAAGATGAGTCAGCTTTTCCAGCAAATAAGAAAACATGTAAGCAAAAGAAAGATCCATTACTTGCAATTTCAACACTACTGTTTCTTTAATTAATAAATGATAACAAATAATGCAGAAACTTAAAAATGTCAATCATTAGCTAGATCACTTCAATGGAAAACCACAGCATTTAATTTTATTAACTATGCATACAACAAAAACAAACTCAACTAATATGAAAAGTGAACCGAAAGTGGACATTTGAACCTTTAGGCCATGGCTCCCCTGAGGGAGATAACTATCACGTTTGACCCATGCATAACAATCCAAATGACAAGCAAATTTTGCACGACACTCCCCCTGAATTTTGTCGCATTGAAATCCTAGCTCCTGAAAGATGAAAAAGGAAAAAGAAAAAAAATATAAAGCAATAGTAAGTTAAGCATTTGACATATGCTAAAAACTAAAGACATCCTTCAGTAGAACCAAAATGAAAATGTCACTAAGACCATTATATATAGAACGATTGGCATCCAAACACCTGAGTCCTAGTAGTATGGAAAATAATAATCTCTGAATAAGCCAGTCAATTCCAAAAATTCATCCTAACACTAACGCTTGCGAAGATAACAAGAAGTCAAATAATCTTGAGACAAAATGGGATGCATAATTTCCCTGGAATAGTAATGCTCAATATTTTAATATACTCTTAAACAGAATAAAAATGAATACTAGAGCCCAGAGCCGGAAAAACTGAGAAACATAAAAACAAAACTCATGCAGGGAATTAAGCATTTCCATTTCGATATTTTACACAAGCTGAAGGACAAAGTTATTACATTGTCTATGTAAACGTCACAAACAGGGATAGGCTACATACATCACTCATTTTAAACCCATGATGAGCTGCTCTTCTTTCAACGAATGGCCAATCAAAAAAATCACCATTGTATGTAACATAAATACCAGGCTTGACCTCTTGCATGTGAGCAAACCATTGCCTAAGAAGTTCTACCTGCAAGAAACAGCTAATTGTATTATGGAAACGAAATTATGTGCATCAGCATCCTGAAAATGATACATGAAAAAAAAAAAAAAAAATTGATGAGCCTAGTGTTACCTCATTTGTCACATTTGTCACCTTGAAACACCCTTCAAATTCTGGTTTTGGAGTATACTCTAAATCCTCTATATCCTCCCCGACACACTGAAGAAAATGCAATACATGTGGATCAATTTGAAACTAAAGTCAACCAAAAAATATGTCGATCCAATACACACATTGCAATAACAGTTGAGATAATGACTTGCAAACCAAAAAAAAAAAAAAAGTTGGCACCCACATAAATAGTAACAGATGTCTAAAAAGATCACAATAGTAAAACATTGATAACATATGAATAATTCTTGAGCCTTGAAAATGGAGGAAGAAATTATGTTTTAATTCATAGGTTAAAAAGTTGAAATACATAACAATCATACGTAAGTTTCTGCTGGTGCTTGATAACAGACCACCATGGCAGTCTTACAAAGTTCCAATCTGAAGTAAGAATACAAGCCATGCACCACAGAAAACCTGAAAATGATATTCTCGAACAAGTGATAACAGAAAAGTAAAACCCATATGTACCTCTCTGTTTATAATCAAGTAGCCTTGTCCATCAAGCATGTATGATATCATCATTATGGAATCATATTCTGCATCTGGAAATTTCAAAGGAAGCTTTGTGGTCTCAATATCAAATGCACAAACACGAACTTCAGCACGCTGCAAAAGATCAGTCCTCCTCTCAAGCATAACACCAGTACTAGATACACTTACATCATACCACTGTCCACATCTCACATCTGAGCAGCATGAAATACTTGGTGTCAGAAAAGTAAATATGCAATTTTAAGTTAGAACTTCAGCAGTACTATAATGACTTAGGAAATCCACAGAAAAAAAATAGGTAATTACCATTGTCAATGGCAAAGCGGACATGGTAAGGAACATCATACTCACGGAGATCAACAATGCAATCAAGGAAGTCTTGAGGTCTTTGCTCTCTGCTCGTCAGAACGTCAAAATTAAGGTCAAATAAAGAGATACTCATTAAAAACTAGATGCAGTTGGTCAATCAAGTGATAACGAAAAAGAAAAAAAAAAATACCAAACAACAAAACTCATTTTAAAACTAGATGCCAGTGGTCAATCAAATGATAAGTAATAAAAAAGAAAAAAAGTAAAGAAAAATTATCAAATAACATATGTTTACGCAAATTGAAATCAACCCTGCACTAGAAAGCCTTACCGTTTCCCTGTTAGTATGGACTCATATGCTTCTGCAGCATCAAACTTTGCCTGGTTTCTTTCAACAACACGCAATAGATCTCTCTTCACGTCCATTAGTTGTTGAACGGTATCAAAAGATATTTTTAAATAAAAGTTGTGCAATCCAGACAAATGATTTTTCTGTTCCATGAGCAGAAGAAACAATCATATATTCATTTAGCGCAGTACATGCTTAACGATCATACAAACTCAAGCATGAACAACTACACTATTCCAGAAAGTAACCATGAAAATCGCTTAATCAGTCTAGACAAACCCAATATGATAATTACAACTGCAGCAAAGAAAGCTATTCACTCCCTGATCTACCACCTCAACAGCCTATCTATCGGCGCAAACTTATAAAATTACAAATAGAATACATGAATATACTACACAATCTTACCCAACGACATATGAGTATAGTTATTGGTAATGGGAAATCAAAACCAAAAAATAATAATAATGCAGTACATAGCACAAATTTGGCAAAGAAAAGAGCTCACTGCATTACAGCAATCAACGAATAAACATAATAATCATAAACTGTAGTGCTCTCTTTGTAAGAAATCCAACGGCTCATCAATTCGCATAGCCTAAATATAATCTTCAGAACTAATTCAGCTTTTCAAGCGACAAATTAACAATGGTCAGTTATATTTTATATACTTCTGAAACTAGTTTCAAACTCATGATATTAGTATCTTGAATGGAAGTTATAATTTGAAAAGCTAGCATCATTTGTCCATCATAATTGAAGCTTTTCAGAATAGATACTGTATTGATCTTTCCTTCCAGCTTCCACATTCAAAACAAAGCATTGCCAAGATTTGATACATGAAAGAAGGCAAAAAGTTTGTCATGTTGGGAAAACAAAACTTACCAGATCAAGGTCCTCTTTATCCACAATTTCAACATCAGCAATCTGACTTTCATAACGTCGCCTCAAATATGCCTCAACATCCATTTCCAATTTGTCCTGTAATAAGTGGATCATTGCAGGTTTATCATCAACACCATCATACCAGATGCTATCTATTGTTCAAGCAATTAAAAAGATTCGTTCAAATAAAAATTTATAATTATACCTTCGTTGCTGCATAAAAATAAGGACGGAACTTGTACTTTGCCTTAAAAGTAGAACCATCCTGCAATGCTTATACACGATTAAATGATTCCACATCTATCAACTACTGCAAACACAAGTTTTAAAAATAATTTATCAAGCAACACTCACCTGAGAAACAAAATAAAGATCAATGCAACTGTAGACTTTGTGGCTGTCTTCATCTTCACAAGATGACTGCAAATTACGGTAAAAAATAAATAATTTTCAAATAACAGCATTCAAACTGCAATTATAAACAAATAAATTAATAACATTCCATATAAGACTCAATTTATACAAAATCATAAATTAAGTGTTCCTAAAACCTACCCTAAGATTTAAATTTTCAATCGGCTACCAAATGAGATTAAAAAAAATAAATAAAAATAAAAAATACGATTCATAAACAAGAAAAAATACGAGAGAGAGAGAGGTATTAAAATGAATTTAAATGAATTAGTCCAATAAATTGCTGAATTGGCGATTAGAAGGATCATTAAGTGACTCACAGAAGCGAAAGTGAGTAGCCAACCAAGGCGCTTGTCGCCTTCCGAGAAGAGATCGTAGCCAAGCTTTGACTCAAGCTCCTCTTCGGCGCTACGAAACAACTTCTGCTTCTTGGTGAGTCTAGGGTCTCGACGCTCCCATCTTCGACCGTCCATTTTTTCTGTTTTCGTAGATAGAGTTTCTGCAAAACCCTTGTGATCTGATTCAGATACTCACACTGCCGCACTATGAAGTGCAGGCAAGGGCATTTTCCCGCTCTTTTCAGTGATACCTTTTAAGATATAGATTGCTATAATGACGTAAATGCCCTCCGAGTTTTGTCGACTTGACTTGGGTTGGCTAACTAAATAATAATTGTTCATTTTGATAATTTTGTCATAGATAAAGATAGTCTCCTAAACACTTCCTACAAATGCGATGTAACAATTCACAATTAGCTTGGTCAGATAAGACTCATATAAATTGATTAATTGTGAATTGACATGTTGCATTTGTTAAAGAAAATTAGTAAGAAGTATTTGTCAGTGTAATATTACTCTTTTGCCATATATTTGAAAATCAAACCAAAAATTATCATAAATGATTTTAAAAAAAAATAATAGATAAGTAATCCAAGAAATACAAAAGCAATATCAATATATATATAATATATATATATATTATAATATATATATACCACAACAAGATAATTAAAGTCAATAAGCAAACCCAAATTATGTCACACAAGAAGTAAGAAAAAACAAAAAAATGTCGATAAATAGAAAAAGAAAGGTCAAGAAACATGAAAATCAAATTATTAAGAAAGACTAAGGCTGGCGTTTGTTTTATATTTTTAGAATAGTATTCTATAATAGAATATTATTTAATCAAATAGAATAAGATTCTAAGAATGTGTTTTAGAAAATATTTTCTGAAATTATTTAGATTATTTTTTAACCCCATATATTTGTTAATTTAACTAAATGCCCCTCACAATAAAAATTTATAAATTAACAAAAACACCCACACCCATCCAACTATTGTCGACAGCCAACCACCATCACCAGACGATGGCCAAAAGCCACCAGAATGGCACACAACTGATTAGATATGACTGATCTCATCATGGATCTAGTAAAAAACAACTAGATCTACGGCCAAAGATATGGTTGTTGATGGTCATATCTAGCCGGATCTGGCCATTAACGATGGCCATATCTTGGCCATCATTAACGACCAAACAACGGCCAAAAATCTAGTGGTCAATGATAGCCAAGATATAGCCGTCATTAATAGCCAGATTTGGTCATCAACGACCAGATCTTTGGTAGTAGATCTAGCCGTTTCCAGCTAGATCCATAGTTGATCTTACTGGAAACAACCATATCAGAGCATGACCAGTCAGATCCAACCGGTCGTGCACCATTTCGGTGACTTTCGACCACCATCTAGCAGTGGTGGCCGGCTATCGACAATAGTTGGGTGGGTGAAAGTGTTTTTGTTAATTTATAAACTTTTATTGAGAAAAATATTGGCTAAATATTTTGAGTTGAATATAATAATATTAGATTTTAAGTTGAATAGAAAAGTAATTATTTCATTAGATTAGATGGGATAGTGTCTAAAAAGTAAACCAAATGCAGCCCAATGAAAGGACCAAAAAAATCAACAACAAAATGAGTGAAGAGACAAGTGCTATTAATTTTTGCTCTACAATTGCTCCTTGTTTGGCTATGTGATAGCTCATGGATATTAGCTGCATGATAATGTCTAGAGTAATTACAAGGATTTTCTTTGTCTTTCCCTTGTACAGTTTTTATTTTCTCTATAACTACTTGCAAATGTAGACAAACATAAAATATAGCAAACTACAAGGGAGGTTGGTCTGATGATCAAGAAGGTTTGTTTCCTTTTTTGAGTTCTTGGATTAAAATCTTGGGACCACCTATCATAATAATATTATAGCTTACCTAGTCTTTTGGGTTTGTAGGGTATTCAATAAACCTTGGAGATTAGTTGAAGTACGTGTAAGCTGACCTGAATATCCTAGTTACCAAAAAAATTACATATAATATAGCAATATACAAAACTATTATTATATGGTAATCTGAGCTCTAAAAACAAACAAAAACATTTATTATATGGTATCATCACAGCTATATAGAACAAACGTTCAATTTCTTTTTGAAAGCTTATGGCCTGTTTGTTTCACTTTTTTTGTCCTATCCTACTCATTTTTTTTTCTCATTGTCATAGCTCAAACTTCTTCATCTTTTACGGTTCTTTCGGAGGTTAAATTCTCGTGTCTTTTTCTTTGAGCAATATCATTAACTATAAATCAATCTATTTAGATAAAAGATAAAAATAATTACCTTCTTTGAGGCAACAATTGTAAGTGTTTGCCTACATATTCAAAATGGGAGTTGGCTAAGGAAATTGTTGAGCATTTTGAGTTTTTTTTTTTTTAAACAATTTGACAAAGATCTTTTTAGATTCTAAATAACCAATTAACAATCTCTTCTTATCTTTGATTTGTGACATGGGGTTATCATTGAGTAAGGTGGTTTAGTTTAGTTCCCCTTATGCTGAGATAAAGTACATTGCGGTGAAGATGGTAGAAATTTTTGAAAAATAATGGGATGCTATATATTAAGTGTTAGCTGTAGTAATTGTTCTACTTCTACATCTTAGGTACAAAAAGTTGTTGCTCTAACTTCTTATAGGATCCTAAAATCTACTAAGATGCAGCAAGTTACCATAAGCAAAATATCAGTTCTTTATGTGCTTATTGTTGGAATTTATTAATTAAATTGAATGAAATAAATGGAATGAAAGTGGTGGTGTAAGTTGAGAATTTGAAAGATGAAAGGTTAGTTGATTAATTGAGGAGGTTTTAAGAATTGGAAAGTTAATAAGTGGAAAATAATAGTGGAATTCAATGTTTTGTCCCACCTTGATTAGTATAAAAAGGTGTTCTTCCTTTCATTTCAAACACACCAAAATTTCAATACCTCATTTTCTCTCTAGTTTTTAAGGTTTTCCTTTGTTGTAGTTAAGTCTTAATTCAGTTCGTTAGAATAGAAGAGTGATGCTTCTCTTATTATTCATCTGTCGTTGTATCTTGGGAAACAGACACTACTCAAATCCTTATGCACCCGAGTGAAGGAGGTGAATCTGTTTTAAGGAAACTGTGTGTTACACAAGCCTCGACATTTATCCTAAGGTTGTATTATTTACCACCGGATCTCTTCCTGTCATTCTAAAGGATGTCCTACACGTGATCACATTGTTGGTACTGTTAATTTTATTGTATTGTCATTTTATTTTGTTGACATTTAATTCTATTGTTTCTATATTCAATAGATTTATTATTTGCAGTCATTTTGAAGGATCTCCTACACGTGATCACGCTGTTGGTATTGTTAATTTTATTGTATTGTCATTTTATTTTATTGACATTTAATTCTATTGTTTCTTGTTAGTAAATCGATGGGGTAAACACAGTGGGTAACAAAAGTTTTTCCCATCGATTACTCCGATGAACCCAAGATCAGAGTCTGATATGTATATATTTTACATGCTTAAATTGAAACAAGACAAAACCGAAAAAGGATCGGATCATACCAACGTTTGGAGGCTCTATCAATATCTATGAACGCGATCTCACTATCGATCCAAGTGTAGGACCGAATTCATGCCGTCCACACGAAGACAGTACAACAGAGAAAGATTGGTTTTGCTAGAACCAATCCTTGACTTTAAGGTTTCAAGGTTTGGAAGGACAAAGAGTGAAAAGAGATGAAGAAAATAAGAGAGAAAAATTCTTTCTAATCTTTTCACTCTTCCACGACTGAAGCAAAAGTGAATGAATGAATTCACTCCCACGGCCAAATGAATAAGAATTCAATGAAAACCTATTTTGCTTTTCTTTATACAGAAAAGCCAAATATCAATTCCACCCCCAAAGTTTAGCAATAACGCAAACTTAGGTGAAATCGCACATAGGTCCCTGTTTAATTAAATATTAATACTAACTTCAATAATTAAACTCGTAATTTTGCTAAATTATTCCAATAAAATTGGACACAGGCTACAACCTCAGTAAATTTAATTACACAATAAAATTACCAATATGCCCTTTTGTCCAAAAGACGAAAATACCCTTCCATAGTTAACCACCCTTAAACTGTCTCTTTAGTGTGTGACCCATAGGCTCCTCGTCATACCGGCAGTGAGTAGGATCGCGATTGACACTAATCAATTGTCTCACTACACACAGACCAAGATTGGCCTCTAGCAAAGCATTATGGCCACCCGATAGATTTGGATTCAGCGAAATAGCTACCTGTCAACGATATGGTTGCCGTGAAATTAAATCTTTTCATCATCTGTTATCTCATCGAGACTGGGGCATAAAAATAGTGTCAACCTCAGTTATCCTCGATATATTTATATTCAGTTATTAGACCAATGACCAGAATAATAAATTAGATTGAGCAACAACTCAATCCCACTATGATCATAGATTTACTGTTGTTGTCATTAATTGAACTGCGTCGTGAGATAACTTCTCTTGTACCTAAGAGTGGTGAATCCTTTGTCAATCTACCATAGTCTTGATATACTCCTTGATGCAATTAATCACTACCATATTGACAGCTCTGAATAGAACTGCGTTAGGCTACTGTCAAACTACACCAATTGATGCACAGGACGCTCCGGTGATCTCAAGTCTAAGGATCACATGCACCACAATTCATTAGAGAATTTTTTCCATAGACACTGGGGTTACCATCTATATGAAATCCTCTGGTGGGTCAGTATAGTGAACTTACCTACAGCAAGCACCCATGTGTTACACTAGGTTGTCGGCAAACATCCTTGACAAGTGAGATTAGTCACTGCCTTTCGACAAGGTCGTTCAACACTATGATAGTCTTACTGTATTATTTGTGTCCTTGGTCAGAATAATACTGGGGCTACGGACATTTCTATAATGACCATCATATGTGCTCATTGAGTTCTCACTATCAAGATTTGAAACACTTGATACTCTCGTCACGATTCTACGATCCTAAGGATATTTATCAATACAACTGTAATTTATATGATATAGTAGATAATGTCTTTTATTGATTAATAAACATTATTACAAAGAGTCAATTCCACAATAATT